ACAAGAACTCGGCTAACAGATGTTTCCGCATATAAAAGCTATCTTCAAGTTTTGTACACCAAAAAAACTTTTCAAATAAACTTAACTGAAAATTATAATTAAACAGCCACCATAATGCTGATACGAAGAGACATTTATTGACTTATAACCACTTTCTACTTTGACCCGTGACCTTTCAACTTCAGCCCATAAGACACTTGTGTGGCCAGTAACTCAATTAATTAATCATGTGAAACACTGTGGAAGGACATTAAGAGCTGGATGTTAAAAGCACCCCTACTACCACTACTTTGGCCACTACATTTTCCTACAAAGTCACCCTAACCATTGCACAGTGAATAGCATATTTTAAGTATATATATATATTGAGTTCTTAAAGCTTATACAAAACTTTTGGTGAGGTAATAATAAATACTGCAATAATATGCTCTGTTATAGATAAATTGTTTGAAAGTTAGGATTTCTGTGTTACTTATTAAAACATCAACCCTCACATTTTTTTAAGTTCATAACCCAGACAAAGGACGAGTACCTCAGCTTGTATTACATAAAACAAAATTACATGATTTTTATTAAATTTCTTAAGCATTAGAGTTATATTTCTTACTTGCGTGCAATTATTGTTTAGACAATTCTATCACTGAGATGTTTATTGCTCTTGTAATTAACTTTAATAATATCCATATGATAGAAAATAATTTACTACGTTATGGCTAATAGGAGTACACAAATATAGACAACAAACATTTTCCTTAACTTACCCTTGAAAGAGCTATCTAGTCTGCTTTTGTATAGAAATAAAAGAAAAGAAAATTTTTATATTCTCGTTATAATAAAATATTTCACTAAATTTCAGCTAACTTATACTCATCAACAATGTTTATAGTTGAATAGTTAGCTAAAAAATTGATATTTTGCTTTGCTGCTTCAAAATAAATACAGACGCAGGTCAAGTTTAACAAGCAGTGCAACTTGTCAAAAATGCAGAGATATATAATAATCTCTGAAAAGGCTAACAGGGATACTCACCTATCTGATAGGTTTGAAAATAATGACGTACGATGATTTTAGTACACCAGCTACTCTTTAAACTTGTTGTTGCTCGATCATGAAGTTATGATCACTGTGAAATTACTGCAGAAATTCCTAAATGGTTGAAGGATCATTTGGTTAAAAATCACTGTTGTTGACACGTATGAAATTGCATGTTCAACAGAAAAAAGTATAAAACAAAATTTTCAAAGATTTCAATATGGAGACTGGCTGTGATACATGTCATCAGCATAACAACTAATATAATTGAGTTGGACTAAACCATTAATTTGTTGAGCTCCAAACTCCAATATTCATGCATCACATGAGTTATATATCTCTGACGAACCTCGCGTGAAGTGGTTGGCGTGAAACATAGAGAAGAATGAAAGAGAAAGTATGAATAGTGAATATGAGGGAGAAAGTAGAAGAGGTTATGTAAAAATATTATTACAATATTATTGTAGAAGTGTCTTATGGAATGAAGTTGTAAGGTCACGGGTCAAAGAAGAAAGTTGGTATTACTGAATAAACGGCTCTTCTTATCAGTCTTATGGTGGCTGTTGGATTACAAACTTCATCTGAGTTTATGTATTATTGTAACATTGGTTGCCTTTTGTTCATTGCATTCCTCCATAGATATGTAAGAGGCTTGTGTGCCCTTCACTTGTACTGTGTGTGTGGTTGATAAGGTTTTCTTTGTTTTTGATGTAAGGACGTGGCGCCATCTATGAAAGTAGGTAATGTTAACTTACGTCAAAGATATTAAATGCTCAATAACAGCAATAATAAGGGTGTAGGGGTTGTGTACTCCCACTAACATGTGCCTTGTTCCAAACTATCAACCCAGCGACCTAGGAGTAGTTATATAACAGACAAACAGACAGGCACACAGATTTTTGTGCTTTATGTTCATATATTTAATAAAGTTTTTGGGTGTAAGGACGTGGCGCCATCTATGAATTTTGCTAAACATTAACTTACATCAAAGATTATAAACGCTTAATAACAGCGATAACAGGGTGGAGGGGCTGTGATCCCTCCTTTAACATGCCCCTTGTTTCAAACTATTATCCCATAAAGCTTGGTTGAGTTGGCCCAGCGACCTAGAAGTAGTTAGATAACGGACAAACAGACAGACACACATTTTGTGTGTATGTGTGTGTGCGTGTGCCTTATGTATATACAGTAGATTGTTTACTACTTTTGCTAGACGGTACGTGAAATCGTGCAGGTTCAGATCAGACATTTTCAACTAATAAGTTTGATTAACAAAACTGATTACTTGAAATGCTTCGTTGGGTGAAAGTATGAAAAACAGATCTAATTTAAATTTGCTTTACTCGTTAGAAAATATCCAGATGGGAGTTAAGTTTACTTGAAGATAAAAAAGACTTGGAACAAATTCAATCGTTTATTCAAAAACTTGAATAATTATGATGCACTCGTTAATTCATTGATAATATATGTATAGAAATGCTCATGAGTGACTTATAAAAATTACTGATTAACTTATGAGCACATTATTAGTAGCTTATAAAATGAAACTAAGTAAATTAATTTTAAAATACCAGAAATTAAAAAAAATGTAAAAATAAATTCTAGTTTATGTTACAATGAAGCGTTTTATTTCCTTGTATTCATTTATTTGCACTGGAGGTACTTGTACTGTAGTAAGGTTATTTTATTTTACCTCAGCGGTGTCTTAAGGGTTACATTTATTATCATCATTATTGAAACTTGAAAAATCTCGCTATGCATTCAACTCAAAGATATTATTATTCAGTATAGATAATTATTTTCTATTTTAAAAGTTGTAAAGATCATTACTGCTCGTATTGAATGGACACATGCTTCGTGTATTGATGTTCTTCTGTTCCAGTTTGTTTGCTTTTTGCATCACTTTTGTATTCAAACTTTGTTTTTTTATGTGTATTTATGATTTGCCGTAATAACCAGCTAGTCGATAAAGGTATTTAATAGTCTGTTTTTATTTATCTCTCTGTGTATGGAATAGATTAGATTGTTTACAGTTAGCAAGATAAATGTATTTGATACAGTGATACGTAGCATATGTGTGTTTACTGCAGTTGAGAAATCAGTATTCAAAATTTAGCAGACGTGTAACTTATATTATCAATCAGAATAAATTACCGATATATATTTTTATTTGGTGTATCAGCTATGGTTACACTGGTTTGTTTTCAGTACTTCTGTACCTTAATATTTAATTTTTGGAAGTTTGTAGAATGCTTACTGTAACATGGTTTGATGTGATTGTAAAACAGAGAAACCGATTCTCTATTGTGCTGCAATTTTTACTATTCTAACTAATGATTGCGGAGTATAATACCGTCGAAACATGTTGAGCCAGGTACTTTTTTATTTTTATAAATTATTGTACATTTTTAACGCTTTGATGTTCTTTTCAATTTAATTACCTTGTGCACAAGAACCGTCTTTTATCATGAACAATCTAAAATAGTTGTGAAGTAGTATATATTTTTTATTAAATACTGATCCTTTACCCATAGATAATGTAGGATTGACTCTTGACCAACAGATAAAGTAGGCAGAACTTTCAAGGTTCCAAGTAATACCTGATAACTTCTAATGGCTCAAGTAAATATCTGACAATCTAAAATTCTACCAAACATTTCTTGCAAAATCAAATCAAAACGGTTAATTGGATCTATCAAATATTGCTCAAAGTTACACAAGGTCTATCTACACTAGCCGTTCCAAATTGTGAACTGTTAGACTAGAGGGTAAACGACGAGTGAGCATTCACGCCAACTCTTGGGCTACTCTAATCGAACAACGGTATTTGACCGTCTCTCTTATAATGCACGTGTTGCCCTAAAGGGTAACTGCGATTTTTTTTATTGCATTAAGAAACGTGACTCATGAACCCTCAAATATATAGCTTAGTACGCTAGCCACCGAGCCGTCTGATCCCATACAAAATGGAACTTTTAAATACATGGATTTGCTATATCTTCAAAAGTGCTTATCTTAACTGGTTAAAATGTTTTAATAACAACTGGTTTAATGCACAAATTATTTATATTGTTTCATTCAATTCAAAGTAATAAAATACACTAGGAAAGCCTGCGTATAGGATTAGTCCCATCATCCTATTGAACCTGGTATTACTGACGTTCAGGAAGTTGTTCATAACTAAAGTTAGGAAATTGATATACGTTTACATTAGGAGCATTAAGATCAAACTTTTATCAAAATTAGCAAAATAATAAAAAATAATACAAAATGTATGGAGTTAATTCATTAGATAAAGGAGAAACTAGAAAGAAACGCTAGTATGAATACTCACCTTGATAGAAGAGTGACGATAAACAGGACCAACATTTTTCTAGAAATAGTTTTCTAAACGAGAGACGTTTGATGGTTGGAATGTTGACCTTTTCGACAAATGTCGCAATTAAAGCAACAACCATTAACGATATTATAACTCCAAGCCAAACCTAGAAAACAGATCGTTAAAAATTCAAGATATGATAATCTACTTAACAATATAAAATCATAAAATAACTGTGAATTGTTTTGAGAGTTTTAATCAAAACTTACAAGTCTTGCTGGGCAGTCCACAGTTTCGATTGCACAGATCTATGACTCTTCTGAAAAACGAACATGTGAGGCAAACAGTCTGTAACTCATGCTTTATCATAACAACTTTATGTGTGAAATAACATTTAATCTTATTCCTATGAATTGGTTAATGTTATACTGGTTTATCAGTATACAAATTGAAATAGATAAATGGGATGTTCCCCTTGTCATCAAGAAAGAGGATATTATTTTCCCATAGGACGTATTGTGGCGACTTTGCTATGGTTAACTGTATGTTTGTCCTGATAGAGTAGGTAAGATCTTCGCGTGTGGGTTCTCATGGTTGAACTTAGATTTTCATTATACTGGTGCTGCACTGCATATCAGGACTTCTGGTTGCTTATATGCTTATTGCTTGTACAATACAAGCAACACTAATACATCTTTATTTATGAAAGAACATCCTGAACATCTGTAATACCAGGTTCAGTAGGATTATGGAACTAATCCAATACACAGGCTTTCCTAGTATATTTTATTATTTTAAGTAAGTGCGAGATTATTACAAAACTGCGTTTAAAGGATGTAGTTTAATCGAAAACTAGATCATTTATTGTGAAATATACGATATCTTAATAGTTCAGCTACGGATATGTTAAAAATAAATTATACTTAAATAGAATATATATTGATCTTGCTAAGTCTGATAAACTTTATCAGGCCTTCGGAATATCATACTAATTCAATAAAAATAAGCTGGCATGATAATCAAAGCACTGTTGGTTCAAATATCTGCATTATAAGCTGAATTATTTCCTTAAATGCGTAAAAACAGATTTAAAACATCAGGTCAGATTATTTTTATACATTTTTATGAAAAAGATACCCTAAATCCGTGTATCAGATTAATCGTAAAGGTTTCTATACTGGAGTAACTTACGGTAAGCTTTCAGCACGGCCAAAGAATACCTTAAAGAACCTTCGCACGTTTATGAACATGTGTTTAAGCAGATTCCTTCTTTTGGCATTCCGTTGATAAAATTCTTTATAAAGAAAACTATCAACATAAGGCGATAAGAATATGTAAACCACGCAGTAATAACTGTGCCGATGTACAGGTACATCTTTTTAAACTGTTTGTTTTTTGTTTTTTTTAATTAAGCACAAAGCTACATAATGGGTTATCTGTGCTCTGCCCACCACAGGTACCGAAACCCGGTTTCTACGCTGTGCCACTGGAAAGCCTTTTTAAACTTTCTTTCTTCCAACTCCTTGTAATTGATCACGTTGAACTCGTGTTACTTTTATGATGTAATCTTGAAAATATTCAACCATAATTTGTTCACCGTAGTCTGCCATGTATTTAACATGAGAAGTTTTGTATTTGTTACGGTACTTCACCCAATGATTCCAGGTTAACCTGGGAAATGTTATACTTTTTAATATATTTTACTTTTTAGTCATAAAGAAAATACTTTAAGGAGATAAATGTATGCTTTTTCTCTGTGCTATTTAATTAATCTAGCTCTATCTTTAATTTTTCTCTCATATTTTCCTCAGAAAGTCATTACTGTATATCACTTCACACTTCTAGCTGGAGAATAGGTGTTTATCACTTGTCGGAAATGTACTTAAATTCAAGTTGCAGTAAAACGGTGCCTACATATGTGATGATGAAGCACAACGATGCCGGACAGAATGTGTTAAGTATCCGTAATACAGCCGGTTTCTTAATATTTTATGTAAATACTAATTTTGAATACTAATAATAAATGAAAAACAAACAAACACAAATGAACAAATAAGACTAAAATCTTTATTCAAATAACTAACCCTACAGACTATTTGGATGTTTCACCAATAGTGGTCGGCTTCGGTTTTTGTTATAATGAACTCGCTCTGGTTATTGTAGCTGATGAAAGCACGAATGCACGAGACAAAGACAGAAGCAAGAATCGTAACGATTCCAGTCTTTCAATTCATACAAAAGCCCTAGTATGTGTTACACAGTCCAAGAATACCCACGTCAACAATAATTCCCATTATGCATAGTGAACGGAAATAAATCTCTTTAGATCATACTAACTTATACAGGTTTCTGTAACACTTCTTGAAGTGAGTAGGAGAAAATAACATCACCAAGCAAGATTAAGCTCTATAACTGTTATGGTATACAACCTAGAGGATTAGCGCAAATTTGTAGTTTTTCTACACACAGTTTATAAGGATATTTAATTATTATTATTATATTATTATTATACACATTTAAAAAGTAGAAAATATAATTAGTTTCTAGTCAAGACTGTTTTAAAAGTCTTTTAAACAATAGCAACTAATAGCTGAGTGATTATTTGGAGAATTTCTCTTATACATTATCAATTTCCAAGCACAAAGAAATTGCGAGCATAATTTAAGATGAAGCAGATTGATTGATATTCAATTCTGGACGTACGTTATGAATGAAGTGACTGTCTATAAACATGGAAAAAAAAAATGGCTGACTGATTATATGGAGAGCTTTCGACTATTCATTAACTATATCCAGGTGCATAGAGTTTCCAATTACAACCTCATAAGTAAAGACGAAGCAGACTGATTGATATTCAGAACTGGATCTAATTTGTGAATCCATAGACCTTCTTTTGTTCGTAGCATATTCTCTTTCGATGCTCAGTTTCTGGTTGGAAATTTAGTTGTATGATACAATTTGACACTTTTCTATTTTTTTTCGTTATATAATAGTTTTCTAACAGCAAATATAGATAGCAGCAACAGTTAATTACTGAAGTTATTTATCGTGAAACATTTTTTCAGTTTCTTCTATGTTGTCACATAGCCCACCATTTCTCTCATCGTCTCATCTGTTGGTCAAACCCTCACACTCCAAAATTCTAACACTCCCTCTAATTTCAATGCCGCTGTACCACTGGGGAGGGGGTATTTTTTGACATTAATTCCTATGATTACGTGTATAGAGGCCTGTTGTGCGAAAATTGATTGTTAGCGAGATAACATAAGACAACACAGCAGCCTCCAGTTGACTACGTACTGGTATGTTATGAAATCTTACAAGAGACTGCTTTATTAAAGGTAGTAGTCAACGTTATAGTGGACAGTTTTAGGGTAGAGCATAGGCGTAGAAAACGGGGAAGTAATAGGGGTCGATAGCCACGTCCAAACCAGAGAGATAAGGTATTTATGCTTTGTATGAACACATTAATGTTAAGAAAGTGTTAATAGTTTAGGAGTTAAGCTACTTCTCTTCTCCTCCTTCTTTAAAATATTACAAAACAATGCCCCAAATACACACACACACATATATATGTGCTTTAAAACTGCCTGACAAAGTAGAAGCTTCAGGGGATTTCGCCTAGGCAGCTCCCAAATCATTCACGGCCCTCTTAACCTTCAGGTAATGTTTCCTACTACACCTGTGTATAGTAATATCATTAATTTATATGTGTCCCTCTTTTCCAATTTTTATATAATAATTTTATAAATAATAAGTTTTAAGAGTGTGTGTGCTAACGTTTTAAAACATATGAAAATTGTTTCAAGTTACCTCTGGACTGCGTAACTTGATGCAGTTAGCCTCTTAGTCACTGCATTTCAAGTTAAGCTCCCCCTATACTAGTTATGGCGGAGCCTGAGACAAAATTACACTGGTCGACAAAATCAAACTTTTTTCCTCTCATCAATAATGTAAACACACTTTTCTATATCACTTTTGCGTGCTGATTCCAAATCTGTTTTTGGTTTTCTTCTAGTACCTCTAGGTATTGAAATATGACTGGTGTTAATTTCAGCACAATTTAGGTAATAATCACACATTATACTAGTTAACGTTACAACTTTATTCATTTTTCAGTATAATTCCCATATAAACGTCATACACACCATACACTTGGTTAACTTTATATAGTACACACTTGTGAAAAAGAAATGTGCAACAACTTAAATTATGATTAAGGCAATAACCTTTCAAATTTTATCGGTCTCATCACGAAGACTTACCGTGCTAGAGGAAAACCAAAAACAGATTTGGATTCATCGTCCCAAGAGCTATCTAGCCCACCTATAATTATATCTAATGAAAATGACTTGTTGGCCAGTGTTATCAGTTGTTTTTAGAAAACTGTTTACATATACTAAAATGCTGAAATAAGTTTACTCTTATTCTCACAGTACCTTTGGAAAACCTAAAAAGTACGGTAATTTATCTTTCACCATTTTATGTGTTTGGTGATATTGAATGTTGCCTTATGTGCATAAAAATTCACTTTAATTCTTTGAATCTAAATTTGATTTTTATCAGCTGTCATTATTTGCAACTAATATAAACATGTCTTGTTTACCTAGATAACATTGAATATTACAAAATAATAGGATTTCTTGAATTAATTTTAGTAGCATGCACATCATTGACGTTAATACTACAATAAATGAGGTTAATAAAGGAATTATAGACTTAACATTAGTTATTGTTAATTGCATTTTCAATAACCTACATTAGTTGAAGTTTTAACTACTAGTAAGCTAATAATATATGGTTTAAAGATTAACTCTGACACGACGCAAAAATGCATTAACCTAAATTATTAGTCATTAGGGGAATCATATCGTATGGCAGATCAAAGCTTCTCGAAGAAATTAGACTATTTGTTATAAAATAAACATCAACACATTAAAAAATATCAAATAATGCTATGACTGCAATGATGAAAAGAGAAACCTATTTTATTATAATGAACGTTAAATTTATAAATGGTCAATATTAATCTAAATTGAAAATTTCTTTTAACATTCCTCTTAATGTGTCCATTTTGTATCCAAAATCACAGATGTGTAAAAATAGAATTTCATATCTATCTTTTGTGTCTTTCAAGTCATTGCCCAAGAGACCTTTCGACAATGT